GGGGGGGGGGGGGCTGCGAGGTTTTACAACCAACTTAAAGAATATCAGTCTAAATTTAAAGACCTTAAAACGCTATTAAACTCGAATGCGAGAACCGTGAATAAAATTCTGTAATGGCTGTTTGCCAATATATTATATATATATAAAATAGTTTAGAACGTAAAAGAGTCGGGGAAAGATTGGATAGCTGTTTTGCTAATGCACCGGCCGGCTTATTGATCTGCGGCTTGCTGAATTTGCCTTAGGCCTCCATTACTGAGCCTGCCCTGATGACAGCTTTGAATGCTGGTGGCAGCTGGCAGCTGTCAGGCCGGTCCAAGCTGCTGCCACTATTCGCCGGTGTATTGTGTGGCAGTTCACAGCTGTTTCTATTGAAAACTGTCTGCAAACTGCAGGATTGAAAAAATACAAAAAATATAATTATTTTAAGAATTCTCCGAAAATAACCATATTATTTTCAATTCCATTTAGACTTAATTTGGATAATTCATATAGTACACTATCTATAAAATATTATGTATATATTTATTGGGTTGCACGATTCTAGCATACTGAAATCATTATAATCTTTAAAATGAGCAATATATATTTATTTTAAATTTATATATCTACTCTATTTTATATATTTATATAGAATATGTAAATATAGAAGATTTGTTTAGAACTAAAATAAAGGCTTTTAAATAAATTTTTTTTCTTATTATTTTTATAATTTAAACATTTTAAAAAATTATAAACCAAAATCAAATCATATTGTTTAATTGTGTTGTGTATGTTTTTACAGAAATACATTATAAAATTTAATAATAATACAAACAATTTTTTAAAAAATTACATGCAGTTTTAACATTTTAATTAAAAATAAAAAAAAAAGACATCTGCATCAACGATTTTTGATATCTATTTCTCTAATTGAAATATAAAAATTAAAATTGTTTTTTTTTTTAATTATACATCTCTATCATTTTCTTTTTTAGGTTTGAATAGGATTATATATCTAAAAAGAGTCAGAAATTATTTTGCTGTCTTTTAAATCATCGAAATTAAGAGAGTTTTGGCTTTCTACGGAATCTGTCAAAATCATCTGTTCTATCGTCAGTCCGGGGACAGCTGTTTGACAGCTTCACTCCTTGCTTCAAGCCAAGGATATCGGTCCAAGGCTAACAAGTTGTACCGGCCCGTAGGGGAATGGGACTGGACCGGCCGGGCCTTAATAGAGGCCTGGACCAGCTGGGCCACGAGTAGGGCCTAGATTTGACAGGATACTCGATCACAGCTGTGTAGCCCGGCCTGCTCAGCTGTGTATAGTTGGATAGGCAGGATTAGGCAAAACTCGACTGTCAAAATAAAAATAAAAATATTTTAAAGAAATACACTTATTTTTCTATTTTATTTTCTGAAATAAAATGTTTATGATTGAAAAAAAAAAACTATGTCATAAGGTTAAGCAACTTTCATTCATGCATATAAACTCAATTTTGATAGAATTTTTTTATCTAAAACCTTTTTAAACAAAATCTTTTCTGGTTCTTTTTCTTTGATTATTACAAAATATTTGTACTCTCGATGATGGTTTTTATATCGTTAGAACTGAAGAGGGTTAAACCAAACCAAACTATATTTTGAAAGTGAAAATAACTGGTTTTATTTACTTTGTTACTTTGAACCAACATCAACATACAATTTTAAAGAAAATCTTGAATGATAAAAACTTTAATTTTTACGTAAAAAGCTCTTTGTCTACTTACTCCAGTAAATGATAAAGCATAAACGAGTGTATACTATTTAATGGAAATATCTCTTTGTTAATTTTTTCCACATATTTTTCTTGTTAAATAATGTAGTCGTTGTTTTCTTGAAAAATTGAATCAAATCAAGAATATCGGGCACTGAACTGTACACTTATGCCTGGAAGATACATCACCAAAACAATTATACTGTATTTTTGGTAAAAAATGTAAACAAACCTCAGGACAGTACTGTTTTTTTTGTAAATTTTTTGTAAACAAAGGTATGAAGGTTCCTGGTGTATCTTGTATGCATTGTACTTAAACAATGTATGTTTATACAAGTTTGGAATTCCTTTTAATTATTGAATTAACCCGGGTTTCATGAAACAGTCAACAGTTTATAAATACATATATTGTAGTTTGTAGAGTAAATTTGTTTATGTGTTTTTAATAAGTCCGTGAACATAACATGACTTGGGTTTAATAAGTATTTCATTCATAACTACAACATGCAAAGTTAGCATTGTTCAAAAACTTTTGGAAAACTTACTTGCTATCTATCTATCTATCTATCTATCTATCTATCTATCTATCTATCTATCTATATATCTATCTATCTATCTATCTATCTATCTATCTATATATCTATCTATCTATCTATCTATCTATCTATCCATCTAACTAAAAAAATAACTAATTATCTGTCTATTATCTATCTATCTGTCTATCTATTTATCTATCATTTCATCGTCCTAGCTCCTTCCTGCTTTGACTTTGAAAGTAATTTAGTTCAATAACAGTTCTTATTATTATGTATCACGTCTGATACATACTACACAGGCATAATATATAGATAGATAGATGGATATCTTGAAAGATAGATAGCTAGATAAATAAAGTAAAGATAGATAGATAAATATGTAATTAGATGAATAGGTAGAAAGATAGATTATATACTTGAATAATTAATACACGTATAAGTATTTTGTATTTATTTGGCTTTATACATCATGCAGATAAGTATATTATGCTATGTATCTAAGGTCTAGTCTGTTTATACACATTATACTGATATAAACGAGATAAGAATATAGTTTAAAAACCAGGTTTTCATTGACAGACAATAAACGTTTGGGGTTTAAAATTACCAAATATATTATATACATTTTTCATCCATCAAGGCATACATATTTGAAATTCTAAAAAATATTTGAGATCGGTCATTTTGATATTACGTTTTACGATTTGCTGACCACTTGAATTTTTCTTGTACGATTCCCCGGGGGGGGGGGGGGGG